GAGCGACGAGCGATATCCAATGGGCGTACAGTCTTTATAGGAAAACTATACGCTTTCCCATATAACCTGTTCGCCCATTGGATATCGTCGTCGCTCATCGCTCATCGCGTCCAGTCTGAATCCGGCCTGAGGCTGGAGCTGAATGGTGCAACGATAGTAATTTATTAGATTGCAAGCAATCCAGCAGAAAAAATAGCATCGTCTGCAGCGGGCTTTACGCTCCATGTGAATCCAGCCTGAATGAGCCATCGCTCGATTCAGTGAACTGTCGCATCCATGAAGAATAGAGATAAGGAGGCTCAACTAATGCTTTCGAGAATGAGACCAAAACCCGGTTTCTATGGTAGTTCAAAATATGCACACCGGTGGCGCTACGGTAGATAAACTATTGACAAACAGAAGTCGAAAGGAGATAAATAGATCTGACAATGAGTCGGGATAAAATTCTTCATGAGTAACAGAAAAACGCGAATTGTCATTGCCATTTTCGTAAGTTTATTTTCTACTAATATACACTCACACTATGTACGTGAAAACACTGAAAACGCTGTCGTGGAACGGAAGCGACATCTCGATTAGGATTTAGTACTAGTAGTGACGATCATTTTTGGGCTCAGAATCTGACGCATCCGCCCATATAAGTTGACCCTCCTTATCTCTATTCTTCATGGTCGCATCTGATTGGCGTATTTTCTTAGATAAAAAATAGAGACCCTCTAATCAGAGTCTGGCCAACAGAGTGGTCCGCCATGTTTAGTCAAATCCAACGAGAGAGAGGGCAGTACGAATATCTCAAAGAGAGAGTGAGATAATCGTACTGCCCTCTCTCTCGTTGGATTTGACTAAACCTAGCGGACCACGTGTTGGCCAGACTCTGATTAGAGGGTCTCTAATAAAAAAGTATAAGCCAATCAGACGCAAGTGCGATCAGCGAGCAGGGATGTTTTTGGAACGCAGCGTGTGCCATGACGCTTCCACGTTGCCATGGTAACGCTGCCGGATGTTGGTGTGTTCATTTGCGTATGTCCCCGGGCCCGGCGTTTCCTGCGACGGAGCTCACGCCATATTTTTGTCGGGTCTACGAGGATACGGAGAGCGCGTGGCAACGCATCAAACGCAGTTTGCTCCTCGTCGGATCTCGATCTACGCTTGAAGAACATCGGCGATGAGCGACATCGAGGTGAGTGCGAGGCGTCCGCGGAATCCTCTCCGCGGCGAGCCGCGCGAATTAATTGCGACCGAGTAACTCGTCGCGGTCATTATTGATCCAGCGACGCAATTCCTGCTTCCAGCCATTATCAATACCACGCAGCGTTCGCGGTAACTCGACACGCAGCTTCTCTCGCTACCGTAAATCGCGGGCTATGTCTCGGGGGGAGAAAAGTAAAGTATCGAATTCCCGACGATTCTCCGAAAACTTTAATCTCGGTAAAAGCGTTTCGTAAGGTTATAAATGCGAATAGCTGAATTGCGATTGGTCGATCGCGCTCAGATGTTTAAAATATATGCACGATTGCTGTTGTTGGTAACATTCGCTGTGAGGAGAATCAAATTCTGACGTGTATATATATTTTTTGTTCTAGGTTAGATTCATGTACATAAATGTACGTATGATGGTAAAGTCGATGGGCTTGTTCTCTGTTCCTGCACTGGTGAGCTAGTGCAGTAAGCTCGTCAGTGTAGCGACAGGAAACAAACCTAAGATATTCGGTAGAGACTTCTAATCTAAAGCTGTATCTACAAGGAAGTCGTTTTTATTGTTCTCGGATATATTTCCCAAACGCGTATGTCTAAGAAAACATCTTCGAGAGGTCTTTAAAGGTTAATCTACAATGTGTTCTTTGCGTTTAGGAACATCCTACTTTGTGGCCCGTAAATACGTTTAAAAATTGTGCAAGTTGATAAATTGTACACTGTACAAGGGTAAATTGCCGACTAATGTTTTAAGCGTTTCGATTTGCTTATATAAAATAGAATGTTTCTCGACGCAAAGAGCACATTGTAGATCAAGTTCAAGTAGTCTTTTAGATGTACATATCTAAAGGCCTGTGTCCACGATGCTAGAACTTGGTTCAAGTTCTAGTTCTGGGAAATGGGTGGCCAATCAACGTGCAGCTTTTATGGAATAGCTGCAAGTTGATTGGCCACACACGTTTCTCGAAACTAGAACTTGGATCAAGTTCTAGCATCGTGGACGCAGGCCCTAAGACCAGGTTTCACCAAACGTCGCTTAACTGTAATTTTAGTTTAATTCATGTTTGTCTCTTTCTAGAGTAACAGGTGGAAAGTGACAGAACGAATCAAGCTGAGCTTAAAGTTAAGCGACGTTGGTAAAACCGGGCCTTAAGTCCCAGTCTACAATAGATGATTTAAGCTCTAAGCCTTAAGAAATTGGCTAATCAATCGTGGTCAAGTATGAGTAGAATACGCTTATACTTGGCGCAAGACACCACCAGTCATGATACGCAACTGCGATTAGTCAATTTCTTAAGGTCTGGTCTACAATGAGTTGTTAATCAGAAGTTAGAACTATATGTGGGTCCTTTTTCTTCCACCCAGAAAGGAAAAGGGTCAACGTATAGTTTCGACTTCTGACTAGCGACTAACAACTCATTGTAGGCCAGGTCTAAGGCTTAGAGTTTAAATCTCTATTGTAGATGGGCACTAATCGACTGGTTATTTTCTTAAATCTTACGTCTTAAAGGCCTCATTGTAGACACCGCACAGAAGTCGACTTAAAGACGTGTTAAAGATGCATTTTAGACATGCGTACTATGGGCTGTTTACATAGAATGCCTTACATTGTCGAACATTGCCATACTTCAAAAAGTTAGAAGTTATCTTTTGGACTAGATTGCGTTATCATTGAAGAACATCAGTTCTGTCCCCCTCCAGACAGTGTCAGGTTTCAAATATCGTATTTAACTATGTTTAACGTTGAAATATTACACGTACGAAACATTTAAAATACAACGTTACTATTTATCGAGGTATTTCAAAATACCTTCTTTCATTTCTTCTGTGCGCGAAAAGTATGTGGAACGCATTCACAATTGAGAAACTTTACGAGATAAAGATTGCTTTTCGTTACACTCCTCCGGCATTTAATTTCTCCGATAAAAACAATGTAATTTTGCACCCTTGTACGTGGCACGCAGTGGCACGTTATGCGATCCGCAGTGACTTGGTTTGTAATTTTACAGAGAAGCGGTAGTCGTAGCGCAAGCCCCCGTCGACCACGCACCGCGGACGGCGGCCTGAGGGACTCGCGGTCGCACTCGAGGTCGCGCAAGTCGCGCGAACGGAAGGATTCTCATAGGGAGGTCAAGTACTCGAGGTCGCGCAGTCGTTCCGCGTCGCGCGGTCGAAAGTCCTACCGCGGCAGCAAGTACACCAACGTCGGCCACCGCAGCAGTCGCAGCCGAAGCCGCTCGCCGTATCGCGGCGGTCGTTACTCCCGCAGTAGATCCCGCTCGTACTCGCGATCGCGCTACTCGCGCGATCGCCACGTCTACCGTTCCCACTCGCGTAGCCCGATGTCGTCCAGACGACGGCACATCGGCAACCGCGACAATCCCTGCCCCTCTCGATGCCTAGGTGTCTTCGGACTCTCCATTTTCACGACTGAACAGCAGATCCAACATATATTCTCGAAATACGGCCCGGTAGAACGAGTACAGGTCGTTATCGACGCAAAGGTAATGTAGCACTCGACGTTGCACAGCGCGGTTCGTTAATTCCGCTCGGATCGTGTCGCCGAGAAGCATCCACCCCAGTAAACGCCGAGCGTCAGTTACATTGCGCTTATGTTTCAATTTTTTCACGTGTGTTACATTTGCATTGTCGAGCGAGAAATTGCCACGTAAACGCAATGTAATTGATGCTCGATGTTTACCGGGGCGTTCAAATAATGAGGTAGTTTTTGCCTATCCTTAATTATTACCCGAACCGAATTAATGCGCCGTGGCGTATGTTTATTCATGCATTGTTAAGTGTGCGACAGTCACACCGCCTTAATCCCCATAAAACTCGTACTGGGGTACAATAAATATGGGGCTTGATTCTTGAATTTGTTCGAAGGAGAAACGTATGCAAAAATTCTGCTCTTACAGAAAAGTTGCAAGTTGATCGGCTATTCGCATGGCTTTAACCAATCGACTTTCAACTTTTCTGTCGGAGCAGAATATTCGTATACGTTTCTTCTTCGAATGATTTCGAGAATCGGGGCCCCTGAGCCAGAGATTTAGAACGTTCATACTTAAGAGACACGTGACACGTTAAAGGCTTCTGGCAACATGATTACAAATGTAGATCTGAATGTGAATTGAGAGACAAGCGCGACTTAGTGACGGCGCAGTTTAACGCTGTATATTTATATGCAGACTGGACGCTCTAGAGGATTCTGCTTTGTATATTTCGAATCGTCCGAGGATGCCAAAGTGGCCAAGGAGCAATGCACCGGCATGGAAATCGACGGTCGAAGAATCAGAGTGGACTTCTCCATTACTCAGCGTGCCCACACTCCTACCCCGGGAATATACATGGGAAAACCCACGCATCTTCACGACAGAAGCTGGGATGCGCCCAGACGTAGAGAGTAAGTCGTATCTGTTCCTCCGAGTACAGTGATGGACAGAATGCTGCCAACCCTTCTTTTTTTTTTAATAAATTCAGGAACGTGCAATTAGATCCGGAATTAGGCTGATGGTAGAGAACAATCCGTAAACGCTTAAGATCGTCTCAAGGTCCTTGGACCAAGTTCCAGCGTCGTGGACACAGGACTTTGGTCGTAGACGCAAGGCAGAGAAAAACTTAAGTCGTGAAACTCTGCCTTGCCTTACGTCTACGATTAAGACAGTCCTAAACGTTTATGGGTCGTTCTCTGGTGTCAGCCTTGCGTTCCAAGATCTTCTCCGAGGAATATTTTAAGCCCGTGTCACACTACGTATTGCGGATGCGGATCGGAGCTCAGCCGATCGGATTCGAGGCTGTCTCGTCTGAGTGGCTGAATTCCGACCTGCGATCCGTGATCTCGACCCGATCCGATCCCTCGAATAAGATTGTCCTCAAAACAGGCTTGTTTCTTTATGGCTCAACTATTCGCAACGGTTCAGAGTTGATCTTTTTCCTTCTGCTGTGGAGGGAGACAGATAAACTCTCAACTAGTGCAGTCAGTTCAGCTATAAACAACGGACCTTATGTTTTGGAACGTAAATCTGGAAGTCAATTCTGTATCTTATACTATAGAGAAAATGCTAAAAGTGAGTGGTTTTGTCTCCTCCCAGGTAGCACACATATCTAAAAGACATCATAAGGACGTCTTTAAGACGTCTTTTGACTTAAAGACGTCTTAAAGCTGTCTTTTAGATATGGCGTGCTACCTGGGCTTCTAACTGTCCCCTTAGAAAGAGACAAAGCCGCTCACTTTTGGTATTTTCGCTGCACTGTAAGGTACAAAATCGACCCCCTGAATCTAAACGCGCGCGTTCCTAAGCTCATTAAAAAACAAAAACGTAACTATTCTGTCCAACACGCTGCAATAGTTCGGATGTTGCTTTTGAAAAAGATGACGCGTTGTTTTTCTCCCTTTTTAATTTTTAATTCTTTCAATGTCGAAAACAACAGAGTTAACTACAGAGGAAGCTATCGCCGCTCACCCAGCCCGTACTATAGCCGCCGGCGTTCACGTTACGACCGTTCTAGAACGCGCTCCTACTCGCCGCGTAAGTACAACCCCCACTTAAATTTGCGTACATAATATAAGCTGTCTACATGGATATGTGTCTCATCCCTGTGCTAATATGTATATTATAACACACGTTTATATACAGAATTGCAAATTGTCTAGCAAGAACTCGATACTTGCGTAACTTGACGCACAACGGTGCCTAACCGTGACGTACGCTTGTTCCTCTTACTTCACTTCGTCTCTTGCTGTACTTGAACACTTGACACGAAAATGTTACATGGAGAAGAATTCCCGTATGTTTCGTAACGCTTTCTTTCTAGAGAAAGACACTCTGTTATGGCCGGGCGTCTTGCTGTGTCATGTACATTAATTAACTGCTCTCTTGGAGATATTTATGAACACTGTGGAATCTAAAAGAAATTACGTACATACATTGCGCGAGATAGTTGAGGAAAATAGAATCGAAGCGCTTGGTATCGATGCTGCTTATTATTAGCTTGAAGAGAGACGATTTTGCGCGCGTTCCGTTTCGTTGCATCGTAAAGAGCCGTCGAGCAATAATCGTCGGGATATAACACGCCATCCGGATTCATATTTTCGTAGACCGCTTATATTTCTAATCGAAACGGTAATGTTGATTGGGTTGCCAAGTAAGTATTTAAGTTAGCAAGAAAACGGCAGACGGGAACATCAGAGAAAATGCGCTTGATAAAAAATCGTAACGGTAGTAGCTAAGCAGCAATCCGTAACCTGCGTAAACAATCATAGTTTTTTTGTTGCTTAATGAATTTCAGGTCGATATTAAGTGACATGAAGTGAGGCCAGGCCAGGTCGTTACGGCACATCCAATGACTTTGACCCAAATATTTCTTCAACGGGTCAAAATTATGAAATTAACGAAATCATATTATATCACTATTCTTACCTTACCTAATTCTGCATCGTATGCGACACCGTCTCGCAGGGCGTTTTAGTTACAATACCATAAACGATACCGATAACACTGTTGACGGAAAGAAAAGTGGCTAATGTAGTAGAGCATAGCATACCGTTTGCACGAAAATCAGTAAGGTTAGAATAGATGTAAAACCTTATTTTCATAAGTTTATATTGCTTCCTATCGATGTTATGAAGATAAGGTTTCAATTGTGTAAAGATACAAGGCTATAATGTGAAAGCTGGAATATAATTGGGCGCTCGACATTTGTGCTGTCTTTAGCTTACAGTTGTATTCCAGCCGTTGGGTAGATTCTTCTAAAAAACAAATGTGGAAATATTCTCTTTAACGAAAAAAAAAAATAAAGCACACCTAAATAAGAAAAAGCAAGAAAACGAAAGATATGAAAAAAAAACAGAAAAATAATAACAAGCTTCGAATAAAAAAAAGTAAGTTCTCTAACCTATTTGTTTGTTTATAAGGTTTTGAATCAAGAGGTATTGGATGATAGAGGGAAGTTTGAAGTTTCACTCTGAAAAAATGAGTTTTGAAAAGTCGAAGACAAGATATTTGAAGACACGTTAATCTTGCTCGCATTGTCAAGAGTCAGAAGGTTTTCTCGGTTGCTTGTGACAAAGAATATGATCTGCAATTCATTTCCGGCTGAGAAGCCTCAAGCCTAGAAGAAAACGTCAAGTAGTGCAAGCCCGAAGACAGAATCGAGTTGGTCGTCAGACCCCCGACCGGGACGGAGTTCATTTGGTTGGGGGTGAAAACAGGGCCGAACGTGTTTCCGAAAAATATTCAAGAAGTTCATCGAAAGTCTTTCGTAGAATAGGGACGAGCGTAAGGTGCTCCCAGACCTTTATACCGATCATATTCTTTATCAGTTGGTTTGGTTGCCACACGCCATTTTACTCTAGAGAACTGTGTACACATATATACATATATGTATGTACATACGCACCCGTATATATGTACATATACATATATATGTTTATACGCAGATCTCTACATATACATAACGTGAAAATAAAAATAAAAGTTCGTATATTTCCTTTATCACATCCTCTCCCTCCACCATCCTGAAACCTCCGTTTCCTCCAAGAAGACCTCATGCTATTATGAATTTTTACCTAGTAGTACTAGAACTATCATAGCATTTTGTCAATAAATGTTGTTTCTACTACGACCGACTTTGATCCCTGTCCTTTTGATGGGTTGGTTTCTTCTTCTTTTCTTTTTCTTTTTTTTTTACATTGCGGAGTTCGGGGCGCGTAACACGCGAATGGCTTTTTACACTTAGGATAAAAGTAATGCTGCGGATTGATCCTTCCCACTGATATCCCTGCGTGTTATCATTGCCTTTGCAAACCTCTGAGATCTTAATCTTGTAGAAGTGTGCGATGAAAGTCCACTTGTCGGGGCTTTGTCTGAAATTTAATGCCAATAAAGTCAGCTTCCAGTAAAGAATTTGCATTTTGGATTCCAATCCCAATGGACCGCCACGTGTTTCCACAGAACTGCGTATTCAGAGCGGATAATTGGATTCGTTGGTACTCTACTTGCAGTACTCTGAGTGCCTTCACCCTGATGCGGAGAATTCTGTCAACGTGGCGGACGAACACCTCGTTGGACTTGAGAGATCGACTCAGATTAACACAAGTGACTGTCTCGATTAGATGAACGAACGATCGGAGATATCCAACAATCGAAATCAACAGCATTGGCAAATATTGAATTAAATTTGTGTAAAAGTGTAAATTTACAGACTGTCATCAATTTCAACTCTCCATATCTAGAATGTAAGTGCGATTTGTCCGATGTGATTTTACGGCAATTGCGGTTGTAAGCAGATTTTTGCATCTACGTTAGATTCTTCATTTTATGAACCACAAGAGTTGCAAAACTACCTGCGATTCGTGTTTTTGCCGATTGCCACGATTTGGCGGTTGTAATAGAGCTAGGACGAATCGCGAAACACTATGGGCGCTGATATAATAATAGATTTGGAAGTTTTCGAGTCTACGGAGTTTATGTTCTGTTCTTGCCTCTTGCAAAATTTATTTAAATCAATTTTACAAATTTAAATTCTAGCAGCAGGATGAATATGGAAATGTCTGTTATCTCCGGAAAGGCGACGAAGCTAAAAATACCATAAGCTAGAGTCTCTAGAGAGCACGTTTTTTTTCTTATTGAACGTTGAAATACCTTCGTAAAAACGTCCAGCAATGTCTAGGAAACAAAATACAACTTGAAGACTTCGATCAAATTGTGACTAATCTGATCGACGTTTAACTCGTAGACTAACTCGTCGTTTTGTTAACATGGCTAGATTTATTAACATTTGGTTTAACGTGCAGCAACGATATGTAGAAAAAAATTCGACCGAGTACAACAAATTGTGTAGCTATAAATTTTATCTTAAGCAATTTTGTTGCTTGAATTATTTATTTCCAATCTCTGTGAGTCGTTTTAATTCATTTTTATCTTTCTCTAATTCTTAAAAAAAGATAAAAAGTAAGTTGAACCGAAATCAAAGTTAATCTACATACATCGCTGAAGATGCACTTCAATCGCTGACTGAATTAATCTAAATTCTAGGAATGAGGCTGGTATGACATTTGTCGTACGACAAAATTTTCAAGCGTGCTGATTGGCTGCCAAGAGTAGAAAATTTCTGGATACTCGAGAACTTTACTATCCCGCAGCCAATCAACTTGAAGAATTTGTCGCGTACAAATGTATTAGGCGCGTGCATTCCTTATTTTTAAATTCGTACTTGAAAATATCGAGAAGACAATCGAACTCTCGAAAGTCGAACGTCGATCGATCTGTCGTGTCGGGCGCTTGTTTACTTATCCTTACGGCACACGTGCGGGTGTGACGTTGAGCGCGAACGAGCTCTCGCGAGTCGCGACCAGTTGCGCGGTCGTGAATCCGCGCGGAGGACGAATTGTCGAGGATGCAGAAGGTGAAGAGAAAAGGTAGACCGCAGCAACCCTCCTCGTCCGTCGCTGTGGAATCGCCGACGGACGCAGAGATGGGTAAGGACTTCGGAATTCTCATGAACGCGCCGCTCTCGAAGGGCGGGCACTTCGTCTTCAAGTCGGAGAAGGCCTGGACCGTCGACTCGTCGCAGTACTCGGAATTCTTCACCATGAACCTGAAGGCGCTGTCGGCCGCGATCGACTGCGTCCCGTTCAACGAGTACATCGACGTGGCTGACGGGTACTTCGTGGTAAGTGCTCGAGAGACACTCGGCGTGTTGATCCACCGACGAATAGATCGACCGGTTAGTCTTCCGTGTCGTAAGAGGTGACTAAGGCTGATGGCAGAGAACAATCCGTAAAGGCGGAGTAAAGCACGTAGAGCATATGCTGTATGTGGAGTGAGAGGGAATATATTACTTTCTCTCGCATCATTTTTGCCGAAGCTGCCTGTTGGCCAGACTCTGATTAGAGGGAATCTACTAAGGACCAGTTTCACACGTTGGCCATCGATTCTCTGTCGCTTCTTAAATAATAGTAGACAAAGAGGGAGGCCAAACTAATCTCTGCTTAAAGCCCGGTCTACAGTGAGTTGTTAACAATGAGTTGTTAGTCATAAGTAAAAACTAGCCGGTCCTTTTTCTCCCACCCAGAAAGGATCAACATATAGTTCCGACGTTTGTAAAACTGGCCCTTTAGATTGCACGAACGAGCGACTGATTAATTCGACGTCAATTCCAGAGCGACCAGCTGACGAGTATCTACAATGACGCCGAGAGAGGCAGGGCGGCTTACAGCGCGATTCTGGACGATCTGAACGCATCGAGTTTACCGGACACCAAAGACGAAAACACGAGGACCGATGACTCGAAGAGTGTGCAGCTGACGACGAGTACGAAGCCAGAAAACAGTATTGATGATTTGGAGGAAGATCTGGATTTTTTGCTGTCTCTAAAGGAACCCGTCCAGAGCACCACTGTGATAGGAATCGCGCAGCCCACGTCGCTATCTACGTCTCATGGCAGTGGTAAGACTTTTGGACTAATTAAGGTGTCGTGGCATTTTGAAGGTTCGTTTCCGCAAGTTTAATTGTGAACGTACAATTGGCAAGTGGACTGGTTTTCTGCAATATAACGAAGGATCTATGTCGCGGATGTTTTCACCGACGATTTGTTGCAGATTCCAAGACCAAGTCGAAGACTGTTCCGAATAAACCAATCGACTTGGAGAAATGGCTGGATTCTGTCTTGGACGACTAACTTTCCCATGTTGTTACGACACGTTGGTACACACGAACAAAACTGTCCAATTGACTCAGGGAAATGACCAACTTTTCTATGTTACGATACGTTGGCATACATTAACGAAACTATCGACGCTACTTTAAAGGAAAAGAAAAGTAACAAAATATCAATAATGTAAAAAGAACATTTATTTGACATATGAAACGTATAAAGAATTATTATTACGATTATAAAATTATATTAATCTCCATTTTCTTTTTACACATAACAAAAATATATAAATATGTATATTAAATGCATTATGAAGAGTAACGTGCAGTTACCTCACAGCTTGTTGTAATGCAGCGTAGATATTAATCTTTGAACTTCTTTGTAAGAAATACATGCACGTAGTCGTACACCACGAGCATAATAGCGCCGCCTGGACCTAATCTCAGCACCTTTGGCACCAAGCCTTTGTACAAGGCTCTAAATCTGGAACGGGACAGATTGCACGAGTGAGAGCGCGATCCCGGGTACAACCACATATCGGTAGGCAAAACGTATGTATAAATACCCCTCTCTCTTGTACACAATACGCATGGTGTTCAGTGTCCCTTTGTATTGCGTACCATCTTGCGAGCCCTGAATGCGACTTTTAGCCACATCAAACGGTATGTTCAAGCAGGAAGCGACAGTGCCCGACACGAATCCTATGGCAACCTGGAAGATTTTCGGAAACGCGTTACAGAAAACTGACGAGCCAACGTGCAAGCTTGTACGTATATACGCCTTGCGTTGCCACGCAAAGCTGAATGATTACTTTAGTTAAGAATTCAAGCCAAGGTTCTTTACTGGCTGGTACATATCCTTTAACAGAATGATAGAAACCAAAATAAAACGAATTGAACACCGCGTTTCTCATTACGGTGGCTGAGAGCCCTTTGTTCAGGCCGTTCAATCCAAAGCCATACTTCGAAATGATCTCTTTTGTCACTGCGACTGTCGACGGGCTTTCTTTTACGTGCTTTCGATTAGATTGCAGTTTTACTTTGACCACTTCGAAAGGATTAACTAATATAGCCTCCGTAACGCCGGCGAAGAAACCAGCGCACGAGAACGTCTGCAACGATGCAACTTTCTTTATCTTGCAAACAATGGGCAAATTATAATAACCGTGTTAAAGTAATTACCAACGGAGTGGGTGCACTAGCGCCAAACAAGAAAAATTGTTTATATTGCTCGAATGTAAAAAACTAAAAGAAAACAATTTTATGAGTAACAAAAATCCTGCATTACGTCGTCAGGCGATGAATTACCCTACTTTAACTGCACGTTTGGGAGTCTCTACGAGTATCGGCGGCAAAATTCCCTTCCAAAATGCTGGTAGCCCCTCGGTCCTGTACATTTTTGTCATACAATCGCGAATTCCTGTAATATTAATACAGTTAACGCACAACACAATACAAACGTTTTAATGCTGTACAAAGTACCTGTATAATATAATGGATCTGACTTCGCTGTCTTCACTTGCAGCTGAAAGCGCGTTTTAACAAGATCCATCGGATGCATTATGCACACTTCGATGAAACCTGCCGATCCTCCAGCACCAATCTGGATGGCAGCGTCTCTTAAAAGGCTCCCCGTGGTATCGCGCGCCATTTTTGCAATATCGTCTGATGGATACGAGATACAGGAGGAACAATCGAAATGTATATTATTTTCTTTTTGCGTGTAATATATACTCTATATTATAATTTATTTTTATTATCTCTATTATCATTTGCTCGCTACAAGTTGCATCTGGAAATAAGCAACTCAATTAAATTTCTACCACCGTTGAATTGTAAACGGTATTACAAATTGAATTGTAATAGTAGTTGCTTTCCTTTTACATGAAAACTCAGATAAATCTCACTTGTAACGTCAGAACTCAGTTGAATGCATGTTCCTTTTGATTCTTGAGAAGTGAGACTCAACCAGATTTAACTGAGTCTTTGCACACGATCAAAACCGTGTGAGTTTAATAGACTCACATTGATGACGTCATATCTGAGTATAAAATACACACATAAGTGGCTCAGTATCACTTGAGTGTAAAAGGAAAGCAGCTATTATTACAAGCGGCGGTTCTAATAAATGACATTTCGACTGATCTCTTTCACTAGGTTGTATCTCGAATTTTACACAATTCCCGGTTTTTCTGTTTAAACGCTCATTCTCGTCGTAAATGAGCATTTAAGCAGATAAACCGAAAATCGCGTAAAATCGAGATACGATCTTGGAAAAGAGATCAGTCGATTTATATAGTTTTCGAGGGGCAAACCGCTGAGGGGATTGTGTACAGATTTGCGCCTGTTACTGTACTGAAAAAAAAATTAGTAGATTTAACCAGTGGTCTGTTAGAAAATGGACAAATCAGAATTCCTTTGGGATCCAAATATTCTTGAAGAATATTCTTAAAATGTTCATAGGAGTGTCTTGTGCTATCTAGGCATTACTGTCGAATTTTAGTGCATCAGTAGGCATCTGTGTAACATGATTTCGGTTAGCGGTTTACCCATCGAGTTTTCCTTGTGTTCGCTAATCGTTCGACGTGGCATTGCTGTTCTTACCAGCGCGGCTTAACGAATGCAGCGGAATGACACGTGCTATATTCTCCAGTGAGTCATCAGAAAGCGTTAATTTATTCGCCGATATACCCGCACCTTCGCTGTATAAATCAAAATTTCTCGGCTTTCACATGCGACACCTTGTCCTGATAAGAATTCCTGACAGCGCGATCCATACTGCGCGCACGAAATCTGGAGAACACCACGACCTAAAAATAAATGTTTGTTGAGTTGGGATCTATTTTTGGTGCCCAGAAAAGAATTCTAACCTTCAGCGTAATCGATTAACGCTTATTCGCATAAAGCCTGGGCGAAGTTTTATTTGGAAACGCATCTACAACTGACCTGCAATGTATTCGCTATTAACAAATTAATACTCGCGATTAATATACATGTAAAATCGCGTTTGTTCGCAGTATTTTGGCTTCCAGCGTTGTTAAGCAAATTAACATGGGAATTAAACAATTTCTACGCGTTCACGTGTAATAAAAGTCGCTCGCGTGTAAAGCCATCGAATAATTATTTCTCGACAACACCCGAGATCTATTATACAAAATAACTGTATTATTTATATAGAACAAATCTCGAATGTTACCGAGAAATAACAATTACATTACGTGCAATAGCATAACGTGCGGATGTACGTATACACATGGATTCTTTTACCTGGCATACATACGTCAAAGATATCCCGATAACGCTTTATCTACTTCATAAATATTTTGAATAGATTACGCTTTATCTATGCGCATATACAAGCGCAGCTTGCCAAGTGTATGCAGACCTTTCTGGAGCGGAAAAACGCGCGTAAAACGGCAATTCTGCCCGGTATAAGCCACCGATCCGCAAACGTCGCTCCAATTTTAAGCCTAACCCTAGTAGCGCAGCGCATTGGCGAAACATTGGTCCATTATTTCCCAATATCGCGCCAATATATTGTGCCACTAGAGGCCAGTTTCACGAACATCGGTTAGCTGTTAACTAGGGTTCAGTCGACTCCCAATCTTTTCCATCTTTATTATTCAAGAAGAGACACAGAGTCCATTGATCTTCGGTTAGCAGTTAACTGATGTTTGTGAAACTGGCCCGATTTCACCGAACTTGTTTGACTTCCCTCCCCTGTCACGGATCGAGGGAGGTCCCAGGTTCGAATCCTGGTTGGGGTAATATTTTACGCAATAAGAATTTTAATTGCCAGATACGGCCAATAAAAATCATTGATGTTGTTAATTACTGCTGGCGACTTTTAAGAGTATTCTTAATTGTTTGACTTCGTTCTTTGCCGCTTTTCAACTGTTAAGGCTAGTCTACAATACATGGAGTAAGCTGGAGTAAGGAGTAGGAGTAAGGAAATAAATCCATTTTATTTCTTACTCTAAAGGCTATTCTACAATTGCGTAAACGTGGTTGTTAGCGGTTGTACAGTGTTGTAAAACACAGTTTTAAACTAGCATTTCCGATTGTAAAGCCTGTTGTAAAAGATGGCTGAACTTGATCTTCCACGACTACAACGATATAGGACGTAAAAGCTAACTAATCATTCATTTCAATTACGACGTATCTCACTCTATTGTATATTACTTTGATGTACAACACTTACTACTACTTCTACTCCTACAACCCTGCAACTACGTTTACGCAATTGTAGAATGGCCTTTAAGGCTGGTCTACAATACATGGAGTAAGCTGGAGTAAGGAGTAGGAGTAAGGAAATAAATCCATTTTATTTCTTACTCCT